ACGATGCCTACGCTGATTGCGCTTATCTTCGGTAACTTTGTTGCGTTTGTAGCATTTTTAAGTAACTTGTGGACATTGTTTCCTTATCGCGGATTCGTTGCTAACCAACTTACTCCATATGGTATTTTGCGAAGAGTTATGCCACCGTTTATGTATGCAATATATATATATATATATATATATATATATATATATATATGGTCAGAGGCATCCAGCTTCGAATTTGCCTGTCACTGTGGCCAGCCACAGGACGCCTGCGCCTACAGAGGTACCATGGATGGCTTACGCTGCACCACCCACAGCTCCAACCACACACCCCATATCCAGTGTAAACCCGAAGGAATAAGACCGGAAGGCATGCGGATGGGAGCCACGTTTCATCAACGGAGCCGGCCCACACTCCTTCACAGGCAAACACAAGCACGCTGTAGTTGGGAATCAAGCGCACACAAGGCGGTGGCTGGACCGTAGTCCGCTTCACACTGAGTGCATGGAACCACTCTTGATCTTAACACGGCCACGAGGACCGTGCACCCCGTCCCCTCCACCAACGACCAACTGTCTCCTGGAGCCAGTATGGACGAGGTAGTGGGTAATAGTCAGGTAGGCATCTTGTCAACATGCACATCAAGCGCAGCCACACCTGGGATATCAAACAACAGCCAATCACACGAAATGCGGATATTGATAGAGTAAACGCATATGACGACATAAATGCTCGCTAAATGAGCATATAGAAGAAATTTGTTATAAGTGAATCCGTGATCAGTACATAATGTCCGAGTTGTTTAACAGAATACCACGCGGTACAATTACGCAAGCTTACCACAATTCGCATGAGCGACGTGTGCAAGTTGGGAGAAGCTTATCAAGTACGCAGAACAAACCAAATAAAATGTAATGAATTTTATCTACATTAAAAAGGCCTAGTTAAGGTGTGAGTTGGCTTAGCCCAACTGCGGTGAAGAAGCATCATGAATGCGACATCAGCCTCAGTATGGGGCATATATATATATATATATATATATATATATATATATATATATATATATATATATATATATATATATATATATATATATATATATATATATATATATATATATATATATATATATAGTCGCCGGCATCCGGTTACGGTTCCGTATACAGGTAATCGAGCGAATTTTAATGTGAGCCACTGTTTGTTATTCGAAGACCAATCTGTTATAGAGGGGCGACTAGACAACCAGTGTGTTGCAGAGAACAATTCGTGGTGGCGTGCAGCAACCTTAGGTTTTAAACTAGATTAGAATAGGGCCGCGTGTGTTAAAATATAGGTCGGAGTATGAGTGAAGTGACCAGACTGATGCTCTGGCAACACGCGTGGCTGACACTCGACCAAAAAGCGGCCAGAGTTAAGCCAGGAGGTCAGATGTGAACGCCTGTGTAACGGTCTTTCGTTGCCTGAATCCCATACATTGAACACTATCGTGTGTGTGTGTGGTTGCATCCATCTGAGACAATTGAATCGAAGATAAGTGAGAATCATGTGCAGCGTTGGTATGCAATAGTATTGAGCATGGATTCGAACGGTACCAAGATGGCCGAACAGACAAAGACAGTGACTGATGGACGGAAACAAGGACCCAGCGAGGACTGGAAACAGACGAGAATTAGAGGTGAAATTGGTGAGCCACTCACAGTGGTAGATGACACGTGATTGCAGTAGCCCGGTGAGCGAATAAGACGCTGCTGGGTTGTGCAAAAGAAAGCCACATCCTCTCGAAATCTGTGGGAATTACGGTACATCCGGACGAAATCGGTGACCCAATCGTCATCGGGAGAACGAAAGCATAGCATCCGTGCGCGAGAAGAAAAGGTTTCCGTTCAGATTGTACGGAGTTCTCATAGCATACTTTGCATCGGATTTATTATGAAACGTGTGCGGTAAGAAGAGGGTGAATAGAAAGCAAACAGTAGAAAGATAATACAAACGAGTCCCGGTTATGTCCGGTCATCGTGAGGAAAAAATGTGGAAACAAAACTGCGCAGAAATGAGTACATTCACCCTTAGTCCTGGTATGAACTGTTATGTCATTCGGGTGATGAAGGCCAATGGGGTGCAAGTGTATACAGTCGTACAGATAGATGGAGTGTGCACTGTCGTGGATTCTCTTTGGTTCGACCAGCACTAGAGATGCAAAGCTAATCCACGTCCATGTATTTAGCCGAATCCACTCGACTAGTTGTCTAAATCGGCCACGGTAAGGCCCACCGATGATCACAGAGTGGATAAGCAAATCAGTGAGCGGGTCTTTGTAAGACTGACAATGGAATGTACGCAATGAGACAATCACTATTGGTGTGTGTTGTGTCGTGTTGAGGAGACGGCGGTACATGTCAGAGGTGAGATCTTTTGTGGCTAAGAGGAACCGTTGAAAGATAGACAACACGAGGGGAAAGACATACAAGGTGCGTCTGAAATGTTCAGTGAATGGTCTCGAAAAATAAAGAAGAGTCAAAAACAAAAAACCTTTACTGGCCATCAAAGCAATCATCATTAGCAACAACACGCTTCTGACATCAGTTGTAAAGCTGTTAGAAAATTTCAACAAACGCTTATTGTGGAATCGCACGAAACACTGTGGCCACGCCTTGTTGGATATCCACAGCGTCTGTGAGGTGTAAACATTTCAGAGCTAATTTAAGGCGGAGAAATAAAAAGAAATATGTCGGCGCCAAAGCTGGAGAACAAGCAAGGTGTTGCAGTACACATCCTGTGTTGAGCGAGGAAGTTGATCACGCGGATCGCGGTGTGCGGGCGGGTGTTGTCATGGAGGATATACCATTGTCTAATCCGGTACAGTTTCAGCCGAACCCTCGGCACCATTTCCCTCTATAAAGCGCTTAAATCACATAAAACACACTTTTTACTCGCTGCTTCAATACCATGCAATTTCACTAACATTTCATGAGTCACTGCCGCTGTCTTCCTTAATGTGAAGCAAAACTCCATGTAAACCCGTTGTCACATTTTGCAATGACATGAATTCTCACACTGACTTCGTTAGCTTGATCGTTGCATGCACCACCGCCTCACTTCGGTGATTTGCAGGGTAGGGGGCTTGTTGGTATATATATATATATATATATATATATATTCAACATTTTACCAATTGCATTACAATTGGATGGGTGCCACAAACATACGTGAAAAACAGTATGAAAGAGAAAATGACAGTTAGTAAAGAAGAGTCTCATAGCGAGTGCGACATTGCGTACGGTCCTTGGCCATATCCAGTAACGTTTGCAACCAGATGTGCGCACGGTCCTGTGATCCACAACCCGGGCGTCGGCAACACCCAATAACAGCCAGCTTCGAGGTTTGCGCCTTAACGCATTAGATTCAAGTTTTTCACTGGCCTCACTGTCATCACTTCAATCCCGTCTGCGCTGGAAAGTAGAGCACGGCTTGGCTGCCGCTGGGCAGGCATGCGTAACATATGTCCAAGTCACCAAATCCTCCGCAGTGAAATGATGCCGTCATTCAGTCGGCGGAGTTTGTCAGATGTGAAGACTCACTGGCGGACGTCCCCATTACTGATGTGATGATGCCATCGAGCACCTAGCGATGCTCCGCAGGCAGTGGTGATCGAAAATAGATAGCTGCTGAACATCAGTTTTGGGAACGGGCCAAATCTCCCCAGCAAACAGCAGAATCGCTCGTACCGCGGCGTTGCAGAGTCGTCTCTTGAGAGCGACGCTCAGGTCAGGATGAAGCCACAGGTGACAGGGATGAGAAGAAGCTACTTTAGTCTTGGAGACACGCAAGGAGATTCCATCCGTTAAACCGCCAATACTAAGACAACTCCTAAGGTAAATGAATTTGTCGACTACTTCCAGTGAATGCCACGAAAGAGTGAGAGAAGGTGATGCACTTGACCAGTTCAGTAATATCACCTTACATATTGAAGGGTCAAAGATCAATCCAAACCAAGAGGTGAACATCACTAGTTTAAGCTGCGCATACTGGGCGGTTTTGGGTGACTCACTTGTTGACATGTCCCTCAATGCCATATGCGCAGGCCCCTTAGCCTAAGCAGCGCGGTTTTTAATATGTGGGATGATTCACCGGACTTTTCATAAGCACCTTGTGAAAATGTGTTCACTTTAACTCAAATAACAACAACGCTGAGAGGCGCACCATGTTGTCCATTTCCACAAAAACATAACAGGATAAGCAGCTCTTTAGGAGCGCACATCGCTAACCGGAGCACAATGTAGTATAACACACGTTTTCGTTAGTGAGAGTTTAGATAAAAGCGGATTGAGCAGTCGCTTCAAGCTCTCCAAACCAGTACGGGAGCAGTTAGAATGATGAGTATCACAAAGTGCAAAACGGAATTTAGAATTGGAGCAAACCGAACCAACGAGCGTCCCTTACATTCTGTCAAGCGTGAGAGAAAAGTGCTAGCTTTGGTTGCAAAGGTTTCACTTTCTTGATCCAGGAATAAAGCAAGAGAGACGGTAGGATTCGAAGTCAGTTCTCAAACAATCAAATGGGTCTGAATGCGAACAAGATGCCAGTAACATTAGTCAGTTGTACTGTTGAATTTGAGGGCCAGAGTGGGAAACAAAGATGTGGAGAAGAACACCGATGAAATCCGCGGCAACAAGCAAAGTAGCCTCAATGAGATCACACAATGAGGTGCTACTAAAACCACACAAGCAAGTAGCCAAACAAAACGGAAACAAGTACCAAAGTGGGGCCCAAGGAGCAGCAGCCTACAACAGACTGAAATATAAGTGCTTTAATGAAAGAAACATGACTAACGGTATGGTGGCACATTGGATGTAGGTGGCCATCTGAATAAGGACCGAGAACAGTAACATCTACGCCATGAGTAGTCGCGACAGACATGTCCATCGACGTTGGACCAGGTGAATTCATGTATACGGATGCGACAAACGGAAGTGTGTATAAAATGAGAAATAAGAAGTGCTATTCCACTACGTACACTGTTACTGATAAAACTGCTATTGCAACTGCTGCTTGCCTGCCCGTACATATGATCCGAGTCATCTACGCGGAACGAACGTTGAGATTTGGGAACACCGGTGTTGGTAACCTCACTTGGAGATTGTACTACCACCCGAGGATCGAAGGAAGAAACGTGGGCTAATCTTTCACCTGGAAGCCAATAGCCCGTGGTGTTGGTGGAGACAATGGGTGGGGATTTGGTTCGATGCTTGCGTGATGGTAGTGGGGCGGCTGGTTTATGTCGAGCAATCTGTTGTCCCCCATTTACATGATGATCCTCTCGAAGAGAATCAGGGTTGGCATGTCTGGTTAAAACTGTCCGATTGGGAGTGGAACATGGTATGACGTTCACCGGAGAACAGACACTGACAGAAGCGGTGGTAAAGCCAGTAGGGTTGTTTCTTGCGGGAGTCAAATTCGTATGATAGGATTCAGAGAAACCTCGGGAAGCAGGAGTTGGGGTAAAGCCGCCAACTTGACTCTGAAACATCGACTGGCCCGACCGCGGATTGCCTGAATGCAAGAAGAAAGGAGCGAATATTACGTGTTGATGGTGCAGCATTCCGCAGAAAAGAGAAGTAGATTCAAATTACTGCAGGGTACAATTGCAATCAGTCTGTCAGTAAAAAGTATATCAATCCACAATGAAAATGATACTGAAAGGTAGATGGAAAATATGTTCTCCAACACACAATGACAAGGTGGAACACGTTTCTTTCAATAACAAAAGATCATGCAAACGCAAACACCCGGAGCTACCAATGCACTGCCAATAAAAACAAAAACTTGAGGTTCAGTGCACTCAGTTTCATACATCGGGGGGAGGGGGGAGAACGTCGCACATCTTCCCGAAGCAAACGACGTCTCAAAATGATTCATATAGTGTAGACTAATGTTTGCAGTACTGCAGTATATAGATGAAAACGATCTCGTGGAGTGCCAAGTCCAATTGCCTGCAGCTAGGTGATAACTGACACCACAAAGTTCTTCCCTGTATATATTTCCCGTCGAATTACTGCTTATGAGGTTGTAGTCATACATCATTTGTATCCAACGTTGATAACCTTAAGGATGGGGTGCAGATGTGTAATCGGAGCCGCCGCAATTATGTAATCGGATCACAGTCGAGTAAACGATTAATCTTGTGTGTCACGGCTGTCTAGCTATTGCACAGAATAATGGTGTGAAAAACCCCAGTCAAAGACTGGCTCACGTTGGTAGACATTACGTCAGAATAAAACAGGCTCCAAAGAGATAGAACATGGCTGTGGAGCAAAAGAGTACAGATAAATAAACATGTTAGAAGATGCAGGTAAGGTGGCGCGTGATGAAAAAAAGTGTTAAAGAAGTAACCGTTCAAGGCAGTAAACCCATTTGGCAAAACTTTGTTACATAGACCAAAGTGAGGGTGAAAACTCTTATGCAAGAGCAAAACTAAACGGTTGGGCAGACAGAACAGTTATTTAAAAGTGCATCCGCCTTAGTTTGAGGATGTATATCAACGAAAGTAGAACGACCAACTAACGGGAATCAAGGGGAATACGGTTGGATAAATAAAATCCATGGCACGCACAAGTTCAGGAGTAAGTGCACAACGCTCGTGAATGTAACCAAGCGTTGTAAAAAAAAAGTAGCAGCGAAAGTGGTAGAGTTAAAGAAAGAAAAAATCTTGAACCTATGGACACGACACATTTTTCTGTGCCTACGTTCCGATGAAGGAGAAGTGAAGTAGATAGGGCAGCGCGATCTCGAAGTAAATGTCCAGAAGAGAAAAAGCATCCGGGTCGGATGATCACTCAATAACCACAACAAGCGCGAGAGTAAACAAATAGGGACACAACACATGGGGAGGGGAAATAATAATAATAATAATAATAATAATGTCAGCTGTAGGCCGTAACGGCGCTTCGCTGCCGAGCGGCCACCACCAGTCGTGCGCGGGCTGAGTATACCCCGAGGACGCCCACAACTACGGGGATTTGAACCGGTGAACTTATGGTTGCAAACCAGGTGCGCCGACCACTCGGTCACCGGCCGATAGCAACAAGCAAAACCAAGATAAGAAACGTTGTGAGACAAGACCGAATTTTCAGCGGTTTGACCGTAACTTAGAAGCATGTATTAGACGGAAGCCTGATGTGACACCGGTAAACGAAATTTCCCAAAATTATAGCTACGAAAGTAGTTACTCTGAATTACTTATCCGCCGCATCATCATTATCAGAAAAGTTAGCTAGAGGTGGGAAACACCTCACCTACTGTGCCGCAATACATAGAGAAAAAGGAGAAAAAAAGCAACTGGTGCAAGCTGACTGAGCTACCGGTAACGGATGGGCTCCATTACGGTAAGCCACCAGCCGGCTGCTGTGCACCAAAAAAACTTACTATGCAAAATTATATAAGGCTAAATAGTGAGATCGTGGTTGGAGGGGGAGGCTAAGAGGGATGGGGTGGGACAAAGAAACACACAGCACGAACGCCACTGAGGTCGGCTCCTTGCCATATCAACAAGTGTGTCCAACCAAACGTGTTCATCGTCTTTCAAACCCTAACTAGGGAGCCGACACACTCCAACCGAGGCCAGCTCCGAAGAAAGGACCTTCAGTCCTTTAGACCAAGTCATCGCTTGGCCACCCCTCCTCTTCTTCCATCCACACCCCCGGCCCGCAAACAACGCACGTCGCGGGAGTCGGTGGGCTGGTATGCGTAACACGTGGCCGAGCCATCGGAGCCTGATGCGTGAAATAACGGTGCTGAGCGGTTCAGTTCCTTTTCCTGTGCCATAAACAAGGCGTCGAACACGCTCGTTACTCACGCGGTGTTCCCACCAGATGTGAGCTAAATTATGAAGGCACCGGTGGTCGAACGTAACTGGCCTCTTCAGGTCCGCTGCTTTAAGCGGCCAGGTTTCACAACTGTACAGTAGGGTCGAACGTACTGCTGCATTATACACTCTATCCTTCAGGGTGAGAGTGATGTCGCGCCGGCGCCATAAGTGGCGAAGGTTAGCAAAAGCGCCCCGAGCTTTTGCTATACGATTCGTGATTTCATCTTCAATCCCACGGGCGCTGATACGAAATCCCAGGTAGTTGAATTTTTAACGACTTCTAGCTCATCCCCACCAAGGGTCAGCGTAGGAGGTGGTCCAGACCAATCGTGGAGAAACGCTTTGCACTTCGAGGGTGCGAAGCAAAGCCCGAAGTGATAGACAGCTAGTGCTTATCTGTCCAGTGCCGCATGGCACTTTTGTGAGCTGTCACAGATTAGGGCAATATCGTCAGCATACTCCAAGTCAAGAAGTCGTTCTCCTGGGAGCAGATCCACACCTTCTAAGCCGTATCCTGTAAACGACGTCCGGTTGCTCGTTCCCATTCTTGCTATACGTTTGTCTTACAAGTGAAATACGCTTGAATACCGGTGTTTCAACGCACATTGGTAATAGAATTTGACGCCTGTCAAATTCCTTCACACATCCAAGGTGATTTGGATAGCGACACCTATCCACAAGACATCAAGCATGACGAGCAAGGTCCAGCGAGCTGCGACCTCCCGTGCGTCTAGCACTTTGGACGCTACTCTCGACAAAACGAGAGCAGCAGCAGCATCTAAGTGCCTGAGCTGCAGCAGAAATGTCACTTCTCGGTCTAAAGCGCTGCAGGGCGGTCTGTGCGAAGGATGGGCCCACACAACGTGCAGCGGCATTGAGCACGATCTTTATGAATGCCTGAAAAGAACGGCATCTTCCGCGCTAACATTCCACTGTGACAAATGCCGACTTATTGTTAACGATAAGTCCCTTCTGGCGAATCTGAATTTGGCGAAAAAGACAGGTAATAACGCCGCATTGGTGACGCCCGTACTACCGCCGGTGACTCCTCCATGCATCCATACTGTGCGCAATCGAAGCCGCTCCTCCTCCGCTTCATCAGCGGACACACCAATGCATAGTTCACAAGACAACCGAAAAAAGCCGTCTGTCGGCACTCCAACTGCAACTGCGACCTACGCAGCCGTGGCCAGCGCTGGCGCCGCAAAACCACCCGGCTGGGTCCAGGCCCCTAAAAAGAAAAGTTGTAAGGCGGTAAACAACAACAAATCGAAATCACCGTCTACAGTGTCACAACTAAAGTCTGTGCTAAACAAGGTAACACGACTTGAGGAATTGCTAGCCGAGAAACCGGCCTTACCGAAACCGGTGAAGCCAAGCGATAGCAAGTCACCACGGGGACGGCTATGCAACGTCATGATTTTCCACGCACCTGAGTCGACTGATCCCAGTCCCCAGGTACGCTATGACCATGATGTGCAATTCTTGCAGTCTCTAACCGACAAACTACTGGATGTTGGCGAACCCGGGTTACGAGTGAAACAAGTCACTCGTCTGGGGAAACAAGTTGATGGCAAGTGTCGGCCTCTGCGCATCGCGTTCGCCGACGAAACTGCCCCAAGGTTAGTACTGTCCCGCCTCGGTCGCCTAAAGGGGATGAAAATTCATGTCCGGCCAGACCTTGATCCCGCAGAACGAGAGCAGCTGAAGTCTGCCGTGATCGAACTGAAACGACGCACGGACGTCGGTGAAACTAACCTGCGTATAGTAAATTTTCGCACAGTTGCCCGGATACCCCGAATGCGGGTAAACAGAGCAATGACGCTTCAAGCTCGCCCAGCGGTTCCTACCGCGGATTGCGTGCAGCGTTCATTAATGTATGCAGCTTAATGAACAAGCACGATGATCTGATCCGCTTCATTGCTTCACGTCGGCCAGATGTGGTTGGTTTGGCTGAGACGTGCTTGACATCTGAAGTGACAAGCGAAGAAATTGCGATCACGGACTATTCGTGCTTCCGCTGTGATCGACAGTCGAATAGCCGCGGTGGCGTCCTACTTTACCTCCGGTCTACCCTGTGCGGGAGACTCGTGAGCACCTACCGAAGCATTGACGGTCTATGTGAGCAGCTGTGGTGTTCGATCCACCTACGACGCGGCGAACTACTTGTGGGTGTGGCATATCGTAGCCCACTGAGTAACGGATTGGATTGGCTCACACACGTCCAAAACCAAATGAGTCGCCCGCAGTTTTTGCTCACTGGCGACTTTAACCTTCCTCGAATCTTATGACCTGAAGTTCAGCTTCTCCCTGGCCATAATGAAGTGGAGACAAGATTCGCCGAACTGGTACTGGAAACCGGAACGGTGCAGCACATCACGCAACCCACCCGAATAACCCCGCGCTCAATGCCATCATGCCTGGACCTGCTGCTAACCAGCTGCGAACAAACAGTGCATGACATAGAAGTTCTTGAGCCCATGGCGGCCAGTGATCACTCGACAATTATGGCCACTATAGACCTGCAGCTTCCATGTGTGCGTCCAGTGGCGCCAACATACAACTATTGGAAAGCTGACTTCGATGGCCTCATTCTAGCTGCCAATCAGCTTGATTGGTCTATGCCACAGGATTCATCCGTTGAAACTTGCTGGGCAAACATTAAAGGGGCAGTGCACTCATTGTG